CCCAGGCGGACACAGCTGGGAGAGGGGAACACCACCCTCCTCTCCCACCCAGGTCTCAGTAATGCACGCCAGGTCAGCACCCTCATCCAGAATTACATCATGGATGAGGGCAGTCTTATTTTGTACTGACCTGGCATTCATCAACAGCACTGTGTGGCTCGAGGGTTTGCTGATATGGTCGCCAGAAACCATCTGGTTGGGGGTGGGACTAGAAGAGGGGATAGATGTAAGATATCTAACCTATCTTCTCCTACGTGGGCATGTTCTACCCCCACTGCCATTCCTTCCCCTACCCAGCACCACCTCAATGGCTACCCCCTCCAATGTCCTCCCCCCTTCCTGTTCCATTAGATCCATTATGGGTCTCTTCTTAATTGATGGCAATTAATCACAATTTAAAATAAGTAAAAAATATAACCTTTCTAAAGCCCCTTTCTCTCCCCTTCCAACCCTGTGGCTCATATTGAGAGGGGGTGAGACAGCCAGGAGCAGCGGGGCCTAGTCCTGCAACAGCAGAAGGTGTCAAGGATTTAGCGACAGAAAAAATGTGCAGACTTATTGAAGACACAAGTTCTTCTTCATTTGCAAGATGGCTGTATTTACAATATTTACAAGTATGTACAGGCAGGCATCAAATGAGCATGGCAGGAACTCTTTACACAAACGGACATAGTGGATTGCAGCAAATGGTGGAGAGAGAAGAGAATGATACACAGACACTGTTCACTTATATACATATACATGGCTTCTCTACTCCAGTCAGAAGACACATGACTTCATCTTCTGTACCTGGTGTCTTCTCATTTTCAGACATTGCATCATCTTCTCAGTAGTCAGAGTGACTCAGCATACACACATCTGTGCACAATGGCAGCTCAATAATACATTTATCCAGTTTCAGGCCTATAACATTTTTATATTCTGACACCCCTCCTAATTTCTTATACGTGAATAAGACACATTCCCAACTCTTGTATACAATTTTCGTGTTTCTGTGTACTCAAAGGCTTAGTCAATATGTCAGCTATGTTGTCTTCAGTCTGGCAATACTCTAATTCAATCAATTTTTCTTTTATTGCCTCCCTTACATTATGATATTTAATATCAACATGTTTACTTCTGTTTTTCACTCTTTCTGTTTCAGCCATGTGTATACACGTAGTTTTGTCCTCCATCATTTTTATTCCACCATTTGTTTCAATTTTTAAATATTTTGCTAACTGTTTGTACCATGTCAACTCAGAACACAATTGTGACAAAGCAGCAAATTCTGCTTCCGAAGTTGAAGTTGCTACAGAATTCTGTTTCCTGGATTTCCATCCAACTATATTGTTTCCAAATTTTATTACAAATCCAGTCATGGATTTTCTGTCTGATTCATCGTTGGCCCAATCACTATCTACATAGGCAGTCAGTTTTAAATCTTTTGATGGCTTCATTATCAAATGGTAGTTATACGTTCCTTTTAAATATCTAAAGATTCTTTTTCACTAGGTTTTGCCACATACATGCTTAGAATATTTACTGAGGCTGTTATGTCTGGACGTGTCCAGTTTGTTAAATACATTAAGCTTCCAATAGCTGAATGGTATAACTCTTGATTTTCGAAATCTTTACTGTTTTCATCTTCCTTCTGAAAGTCTATTGTCATGGGAGTACTTACACTTTTACATTCTCCCATGCAGTACTTTTCCAACATTTGTTTGATTTTTAACTCTTGACTCAATTCAAGCCCTTGTTTTGTTTTCTGTATTTGTACACCTAGGTAATTTTGTATTGGTCCCAGACTTTTTAATTTAAATTCCTTTTTAACTGTTTCTCAAACAGTTCTATTTGGTTTTGACTCTTTGCCATGAAACAAATATCATCTACATATGCTAACAGTATGTTCAAGTCATTCCCATTTTTCTTGATATATAGACAAGGATCTGCCAGACTGTTATTATATCCCAGTTTTACCAATACAGTGGTGCCCCGCATAGCGAGGTTAATCCGTTCCGGATTAACCATCGCTATGGGGAAACATCGCTAAACGGAATGGGGAAACCCATTCCAAATGGGCACAAAACTCACCGTTCAGCGATGTTCCTCCATAGCAGCAGCCATTTTCGCGCCCTCGGTAAGCGAGGGCAGCGGGCAAAAAACTGCACGTGGCCATTTTGGGTCGTCCGACAGCCATTTTGGAACCCCGAACAGCTGATCCCCCAGCGTCGCAATGCGAAGATCGGTAAGCGAAACGCTTACCGATCTTCGCAATGCGATATTCGGCTATAGGGACCGTCGGTATGCCTTCGCATTAGTGATCCGTTTTTTGGGGTCGCTATGTGAATTTGTCGTTATACTGTGCTCTCGTTAAGCGAGGCACCACTGTACTTGGTGCAAACAATCATTCCAATTCTTAGCCGATTGTCTTAAACCATAAATGGCTTTGTTTAATTTATACACTAGTTCTGGCTTTGTACCTTCATATCCTGGTGCCTTTGCCATGTATAGTTCCTCTTTCAGGTCTGCATTCAAATATGCAGTGGTAATATCATATGCGTAAAGCCTTGTGCTTCTAACCTTACCTTGTACCTATAATTTCCATCATTCTGTAATTTCCTTTTAAACACCCATTTGCTACCAATAACCTTATGTTCTGCAGGTAGCTTTGTTTCTGTAAACACCTTGTGCTCTTTCATGGATTTCATTTCCTCATCCATGGCATCTTGCCATTTCCTCCTTTCAAAATCAGGAAGTTCCATTACCTGTTTATAATTTCTAGGATCTAAGTATACGTGACAAACTCTTACTCCACCCACTCCAAACCGCTTGGGTGGTACACCCTTGTTTGCCCTTTCAGACCTCCTCGGACCCTGTGTTTCTGGCTCTATTTCTGACTCACTAATATGTTTTTCTTCTTGTTCTTCATGTTCTTCTTCATCTTCTTCATCAGTGGACTTCGTGTCTTCTTCATGTGTTTCTGACTGCCTAATCTGACTCCTTCTTGTGTCATTTAATGGGATAAATATCTGTGAATTAGCATGCACTTTATCCCAATTCTCACCTTCATTGAAGCTTGCAGACCTGGATATCACAATATTTTTATTTCCATCCACAAACCTATATTCTTTTGATCCAGGCTCATAACCTAGGAACATCATTTTCTTTGTTTTAGCTCTGCCTTTTCTCCTTAGCTGTTTTGGTACGTGTACCCATGCAGTACAACCAAATAGGATCAAGTGAGGAAAAAAATTATTAGACAGAATTTAACAAAAGAAAACAAATAAACCACAGAGACCAGACCAATACACAGTATAAACTGTTTGCCATGTTGGGAAAAGGGGGGAATCATGTGTCTCACCTCAGGCTCCTTTTCTCAAATGTGCCCAGTTCCTTCAGTCTTTCTATTTTGGCTTTCAGTTCTTATTGCATTGCTTTTAAGTTGCATGCAGAGTGTCTGCTTTGTAATCAGCTCAAGAATTTTCCCTGAGATGGATGTCAGGCTGACTGGTCTGCAGTTCCCTGGTTCCCCTTTTTGAAGGTTTGAAGAGTGTCAACTCTCCTCAACCTGCCTGGCTCTTCACCCACCTCCCATGATGACAAGTGAATATTAGACAGTGGTTCTGCAGTTTCTTCATCCAGTTTGCTCAGTATCCTTGGATGCAGTTCATCTAGTCCTGGGGATTTGAAATCCTCAAAACAAGTAAGATATTTGGTGGTTGTCGTTTTTTCCGGCACTTCAGAGGACAGCACTCTGTGCTCTGGTGTACTTTGTTTGGGAGTACTCTGGTGTAGTTTGTTTGGTTGATTGGGAGTCCCAAACAAATGACACCAGAGCAGAGCACAGAGTGCTGTCCTCTGAAGATGCCAGCCACAGAGACTGGTGAAACATTAGGAAAAACAACCTTCAAAACATGGCCAAAGAGCCCGAAAAACCCACAACAACCATTATATCCCGGCCGTGAAAGCCTTTGTGAATACAAGTAAGGTATTTCTTTTATGTTACACTCCTCTTTCATCTCTTTTCCCCCTCCATCAGGTGATGAAGAGGACAACTGCAATTCTATAGAACCAGTCAGTCCTTCATTAAAAAGAAAACCCAAGTGTGGAACAACAACAAAAAACTCTTTACACATTAAAAGGAAAGGGAAGAAGGGAAGCCAGGAAAAAAAGAGATAAAGAAAACTCCAGCTTCGACTGCTATTGAATTTGATGCACTTCTGATCACATGAAAAAATCAACAAGGAAAAGAAAGGACAAAAGTTTCCCTGAGCAGGTTAACATGCAAGGGTGCCTCAGATGACAGTGGTCTTGACATAGTTCACCTAGAGGAGAAACGAAGTCAATGCATAGAAAACGGAAAGAGCATCATGATGCAGAGTGACATTAGTTCAACTGACAAATCCCTGAGAGGTGAGAGACAATACAAATGCCTACAGCGTGGAAAGAGCTTCAGTAAGAGCAGTACGCTCAGTTGCCGTCAAAGAATGCAAACAGGGAAGAAACCATATAAATGCATGGAATGCGGGAAGAGCTTCAGTCAGAGTGGTGACCTTAGGTCACATCAAAGAACTCACACTGGTGAGAAACCTTATAAATGCATGGAATGTGGAAAGAGCTTCAGTGAAAGCAGTACGCTTAGATCACATCAAAGAATTCACACTGGGGAGAAACCATATAAATGCTTCGAATGTGAGAAGACCTTCAGTCATCGCAGTAACCTTAATTTACATAAAAGAACTCATACTGGGGAAAAACCATATAAATGCATAGAATGTGGGAAGAGCTTTCGTCAGAGAGTTCACCTGAGTTCACATCAAAGAACTCACACTGGGGAGAAACCATATAAATGCATGGAATGTGGGAAGAACTTCAGTCGGCAAGTTCACCTGCGTTCACATCAAAGAACTCACACTGGGGAGAAACCATATAAATGCATGGAATGTGGAAAGAACTTCAGTCACAGAATATCCCTGAGTTCACATCAAAGAACTCACACTGGGGAGAAACCGTATAAATGCATGGAATGTGGGAGGTGCTTCAGTAAAAGCAGTCACTTCAATTCACATCTAAGAATTCACACAGGGGAGAAACCGTATAAATGCATGGAATGTGGGAGGTGCTTCAGTAAAAGCAGTCACTTCAATTCACATCTAAGAATTCACACAGGGGAGAAACCGTATAAATGCATGGAATGTGGGAGGTGCTTCAGTAAAAGCAGTCACTTCAATTCACATCTAAGAATTCACACAGGGGAGAAACCGTATAAATGCATGGAATGTGGGAAGTGCTTCAGTCAGAACAGTCAACTTAGATTCCATCAAAGAACTCACACTGGGGAGAAACCATATAAATGCATGGAATGTGGGAAGTGCTTCAGAAAAAACAGTTACTTCAGTTCACATCAAAGAACTCACACTGGGGAGAACCCATATAAATGTATGGAATGTGGGAAGTGCTTCAGTCAGACCAGTCAACTTGTGTGAATTCTTAGATGTGAACGGAAGTGACAGCTTTTACTGAAGCACTTCCCACATTCCATACATTTATATGGGTTCTCCCCAGTGTGAGTTCTTTGATGGAATCTCACACTGGGGAGAAACCATATAAATGTATGGAATGTGGGAAGTGCTTCAGTCAGACCAGTCAACTTGTGTGAATTCTTAGATGTGAACGGAAGTGACAGCTTTTACTGAAGCACTTCCCACATTCCATACATTTATATGGGTTCTCCCCAGTGTGAGTTCTTTGATGGAATCTCACACTGGGGAGAAACCATATAAATGTATGGAATGTGGGAAGTGCTTCAGTCAGACCAGTCAACTTGTGTGAATTCTTAGATGTGAACGGAAGTGACAGCTTTTACTGAAGCACTTCCCACATTCCATACATTTATATGGGTTCTCCCCAGTGTGAGTTCTTTGATGGAATCTCACACTGGGGAGAAACCATATAAATGTATGGAATGTGGGAAGTGCTTCAGTCAGAACAGTCAACTTAGATCCCATCAAAGAACTCACACTGGGGAGAAACCTTATAAATACATGGAATGTGGAAAGAGCTTCAGTCGCTGCAAATCCTTGCGTTTACATCAAAGAACTCACACAGAGGGAAAACTGTAGAAGTGCATGGAATTATGAAGTGTGAGAGAAACAACTGTTTGAAGTTGTTTGCGAGAAGAAAAATGTTGTGATTTTTCTTCTTTCATGTGTTCATCTTGATGGGCAAAATATTTTTGTTAGAGAGCTGCCTTTTTCTGGTGAGGATTTTATTGTAAATGACATTCGGATTGGAATTTAATTATTTTGAATGAAAGTAAGCCTTCAACAAGTTATACAATGCAGCTTTTCATAGTGTGTTAGTATTTGAGCATTTATAAGCTAATTAGAATACAATCTGTAACCCATCAGTTTGTGGTGGCTTTTTTTAATGTTGGGAAACGCTTTTTTAGAAATTAAATAGTGTACTTTTCTTAACTACAGGATGAGAATTTTACTCTGTTTTATGCTTTAAGAATGATAGGA